GCAGGACAAATCACAGTCCACTGGGGACATTTCCCTCTGAACATTTATCCTGCAAACTAAGGAAGAAAACCTATGGAAGCCAATTTCTGAATCCTGGTATCTCATTGGAAGTTATTCTTCATTACTAAATCTGAGAGGTTGGATGTCCTTCCTTCAATAATCTGTTAATGATCGGAGTCATTTGGCTGAGCAGCATCCCGTTCTGACACAGCCTCCCTTCAAAGTCTTCTGCAGTCAGTGGACAGCAACAACACATCCCAGTGGCATCCAGCCTTTCCCCTCTAACAACAGAGCACCTCCACGCTGCTGAACATGCACGGCTTGGCAGACCCCTTCCACTGGAAAAAGGAGAATCCACTGCTCTGATCATGAGGATTTGGACAGCACTATCCTCTGTGCTGCTTCATCAAACGTGTAGTCAAACAAAAAAGGAAGGAGGAAACCGTAAGGAACATTTCAGTGAGAAGGAACAATCTACCTTGTCCAAGAACTCAAACTTTCTTTTTTTTTAAAAAACATGCCATGATAGTAAGCCAGCTATCTTAAGGAAAGAGGAATCTTTTCAGAGAGGGCCAGAGCTGTTAACAGAGGGAGGCAAAATCTTCAAGCGTTAGGTTTCCACTGCAGTGAATTGAGAGTCAGAGGCCTGTTGTTCTTCTCTAAGGTCAACAAAATACCTTGGGTATATAAGTTTTATCTCGGGTCTTCAAGATTAATTTACAATCTTTCATCGTCTTTTAACTATAGCTGAAAATATAGGAAGGAAGGAGAATTATATATCCCTCTCTAAACCTGACAAACAGTTAAAAATCAGAAGTATCGAGAATAGTAGTATTTTGTGAAATATTCATCCAAAGAGGAAGGTTATGCCAAAACATATCTTCTAATTACTGTTTTCACTCAAAAGATGAGACAACCTATAAAAAAAATAACTGAAACTAATAGAAACTAGAGCTCTATATTTTTCCCCTCCTCAGGTATTAGCTTTTATGCGTGCTCAGCTAAAATACCACTTTTCTGCAGGGATCTGTTAAAACAGTAAATCAAGTTTACACAATTAAATGATGTCAGGATTTCACTCCACCCCAAATCCACTTAAGTGCAAGGTGCTATGGAGAGAGGCAATGCTTAACTGAAACTAACAGAAACTAGAGCTCTATATTTTTCCCCTCCTCAGGTATTAGCTTTTATGCGTGCTCAGCTAAAATACCACTTTTCTGCAGGGATCTGTTAAAACAGTAAATCAAGTTTACACAATTAAATGATGTCAGGATTTCACTCCACCCCAAATCCACTTAAGTGCAAGGTGCTATGGAGAGAGGCAATGCTGTACCTCCACCTCCAAACAATTGCTCTGCCTCCCCATTCTGCATTGGGGTGAGCGATTTTGCAGCCAATGACCAAATCATCAGTTCAGCTTGCTCATGGAAAACTATCCACTGCACCTCCCATTCCCAAAAGCCCCGGTCCACTCTAAATTTTTAAACAGGAGAGTCAAAAGTCTACTAGCCTACGTGCTATTCATACACACACAACTTACCGGAACAACTAATAATGTGGAAAAAAAATTACAAAGGAATTCCAGGAGGAAGGCATCCGAAGGTCGCATCTTTCCATCTACACTGATCATTTTTGGCACTTCAGGAACAAGGCTCACTGCAGCTTTGAAAAACGCATCAGCTACAAAATAAAAATATAGTTGCTGTATTATCACTCCAGCTGTGATGGCAGTCATGCCTGTGATCCCATGATTGCTTTGAGTTTGTTTCAAGTAGACTATAGAAAATGAAGGTATGCTTAACGGCAAAGAAACTCAAGACTCAGCAGTCAAAATCAGAGGTAATACAAGCAATGCTGGTTTTTCAAAAGTTCCCACATTACTCACAACTTCTGAAATTATCATTCTTCTCCTTTGCTTAACAAGAGAACACCATTGTTTTAAGTATATATAATAAAAAGTATGTAATAAAAAATAGCACACAATTCAACATTGACTTGTTTAAAGAAATGCTTATACCAGGAGAATGGGGAATTCAAAGGGGGGAAAAAAGGTCATGCTATCTCATTCACAAATTCATTCACAAAAAGCTGTTAAAGTTATAAGGAAGTACAGACAACTTCAGTTCTCTAAGTATTTACAGCCATTAAAACACTGATATAGTACCAGAACCTGAGGTATTGCTGGTTGCCTAGGTAAAATGATTCTATCCAAGAACACAATACAGAATTACAGAAACCATCCACCATTACAGCCTTGGAAAAATAGTTATTAAGAGGTTTTTCATAACTCTTTATTATGTCTCTAATCCTACAAAAAAAACCCCCAACACTAGAACATCTATTCCTCAGTTTGTTAAGTTAATATTCACAAATTAAAAACACCAATAATTTCCCTCTTAATCTAGAAGACCTCCTATATATGCTAAGAGTTCAGAAAAATAAATTCTTTTGCACTTTCTTGGCTACATTTCAAAATAACCAAGTGTCCAAATCTCATTCACATGGTTTAGCCATATACTTCAAAGCATCCTTCAGGATTAATACTGTATCTTTATTTTACAGGAATAGAGACTGAGGCCAAAAAGATCAAATTTTAGCACAAATTTTTAGCTCAAATTTTTTTCTCAGTGAAAGCTAGGAGGTGTTACACGGCTAGGACAGAGATACCACTGACAGGCACGCATGGGCATGGTGAAAGCTAGGAGGTGTTATACGGCTAGGACGGAGATACCACTGACAGGCACGCATGGGCATTTCCAGGAGTGCAGCTTGCTCTGGAAAAATTCATTTGAGCACATGAGACTCCAAGCAAATTTGCTAAATATAGTACCAACTGATATCTAAATTAAGCTTATGAGGAATACCAGGGAAACATGTGCTTTGGAAAAACTGTAATTCTTCTGACTCTCATTTCTTTTCAGCACACAAGTGCCCCAGCCCTTCTGAACTTTTCGGTGCTTAGAGTGCAGACCTCTTCAGTCAAACATCGTATTTCCTTTTATTCTACAGATTTATTTTGAAGTAAAAGAATGTTTGTTATTTATTTCAAACAACATATAAGTTTACACAGACAACCCAAAGGAAGGTAAGTTATCTTTCTCTGAGCTTTATTAGAGGAAGCAAAGCAGCTGCAGATGTTCATTCTAGCACAAGTAAATGAATCGCTGTCACTGCCACAGTTGTCTCAGCAGCAAAAAAAAGTGCATGCCCCACATCACTATATAATCAAAACATGTGACCAGACAAATGAAAAAAATGTCTCAGAAAATAGTCTGCATACCAAAGTACCCATGTCTATGCAGAGAATACTCCTGCCTTCTGAAGTTATTTCACAACGGGACAAGAATGACGTGTGCAGCAATCAGTCACTGCAATGAAAGAGAAGAGCTGCAGAAAACCCTCACCCTCATTCCCTGCCTCCTCTCCCAGTGTCACAGTCCTGGACATTCTCCTCTAAACTGCTGCCTTAGCACAAAACCAAAAACTCTTATCTTTGTTATGAATAACAGCAATTTGATTCCATTTACTCTTCTTGACCTCCTGCTGTTGCTGTGAACGGGAGCTGCCTTCTCATCCGGTTGAGCACCTTCAGAGACGTGAGCTCTCTCACCAGACATGCCAGCTCCTCTTCAGGTGACCGCTGCTGGGAACAAGGAGGGACCCGTCCGCTCACCCTGCGCTTGCTGCCACATGCTCCAAGGTGCTTCCATCTTTTTCTTCCCTAACCACAGCACTCACACAGCTGCTGCCTCCCTGCAGTCCCCCTGTGCCTGCTGTCCCCCCCTTGCTGCCGCAGGGTTGTGTTTGCAGGTCACCCTGCGACCCCCGCAGACTGTCGCTGTCTTGGCACAACGGGCAGACTGCTGGGTTCTTGCCCCTACACCTTTCATTCTTCTTCCTTGCCTCGTTCCCCCTGCCTCTCACACCATGCTGCAAGGCAAACCAAAAAAAAAAAACCAAACCCACAATAGAGCACAAAAGCAATTAGTTGCATTTTCTATTAAAAAGAGACATTTTACTCTGGTACTGGCAAAGGAGAATACATTCGTTTTGCTATGAGTTCAGCCAATCTGTGCTGACCACAAAATGGTTCTTATGCTGGAACACTAAAAGCACTTTCATCCAAGGTATATGTGCTTCATAAGAAGCAAAAATAAAGTCACTTCCATGCAAAGATATTATTAGAGAGTTTGCTGAAAACTAAGTGTCCTCCAAACACCACCACCCTATTCACTTGTAGAGAGGTGTCAGAGAATGCATCACACGCTCTGAGTTTGGAGGAAAAGTTCACTAAGTTGTCACAGAAGTGCTATTTTCTTAATAAGTATTACATAACCACTGGTATTTAATTATGAATTACACTGATTATGAGGTTATGCAACAGTGCTGTCTCTGTATCTTATAAAAGTCGATTTATTAAGCTATTACTGTAGAGATGTTTCAAGAGAAAACCATACACCTGCTTTTCCTGGTTTCCGAAAGGTATAAGGAAGCACTTAAAAAGCACCGAAAACCACAACGATGTTATGTTCTTGATTTTAAAAAAAAAAAAAAAAAAAAAAAAAAACCACAATGATGTTATGTTCTTGATTTAAAAAAAAAAAAAAAAAAAAAAAGGCCTTTTCTGGTGAAAGATGCTGATTTCTTATCTGCCTAAAGTACGATACTGCTTCTGAAGTGAGCCACTGCTAAGATGGATAAGGGGGGATCAGCCTGGGCATTACAACAAATCATCATGATAAAGTCTTCCCAGACTGCTGTTAACGTCTTGTGCAGTGCTCCAAACGTGACATACTTCACGCTTTGCTAAATTTATCCGTTCACAGCAGCTCCTTCATTTTGGTTGACCGTAATCCTATAAATCTTTCCACTGAGCATACACGCTGACCTTCAGGCTACAGAAACTAACAGTCTTGGATATCCAAGTCAGCACTTCCAGTAATACTCTCCTACAGAAAAAGCAAGTGAAATTGGTGTTGAATGTTTTGCTATTGTCAATATTCATGTACACACACATTTAATTATACACACACACAAATATACGTACCTCCATATATATCTATATATCAATCTCTCTATATAGGAAAACTTAGCTTACATCGTATTTGCTGCATCTATGATAGTCAATTAAACTGTACCCATTTAATATTTCAGGCAGGCAAAAAAACAAGAAGGAACAAAGCCATTAGAGATGGGAAAACAATTAAGCTCCTTAAGTCCACCTTCAAAGAGCAAAGAGGGAGTTTGACAAACCTACACAAACTATTTTTAGTCACAGATACAATTACACAAGGCTAAGGCCACCCAAAAGACAAAACCAGGGACCATACGTGGTCTTCTGCGTTCCAGATCACCTTCGTGTCCTACAACACTGTCAAGCATATTTTAATACTACAAGATCTTACTTCCACATCCGACAGATGTTGGAAATCTAATGAAGCCTTGTACTCCAGTGCAAAAAATTAAGGACTTAAGCAAAGCTGACAAAAGATAAAGAGGAAAATCCTCCTGAGGATCCGTAATTTAAGATGGGGTGGAGGGGGAAAGGAGTGGGAACAGAAGGTTTTCACAGTGGAGTGCAATGACTGCCGTGTTACAGTTTTGCAGAGAGACATGTCCTTACAATGAGCTGGGAAGTGACAATGTTTGCAGACAGGTCTGGAACGCAACTGCAAAGCATCGCAGATGGATCTCATGATTCGGAGCAATAAAGCAGCAGATGAAATCTAATATTAGTAAGGTATGCGGGGAAAGAAACAGCCCGTGCTATAACTATAGAAAGGGAAGCTCTAAATAGGCTATTTACACTCATGAAAGATTTTGGAGTCATTATAGATGGTTTCCTGAAAACGACATCCTAAACAGCTGTCGAAAAGACAAGGCAATTATAAGAATCATTAGGACAGTAATGGAAAAGTGAGATGCCATTGCATCATTTATATAGCTGTAGTGCACTTACATCAGGAATACAGTCCTGATCTTCCCATTGCCAAAAGGGCAAAAAGAAGATTAAAGAGGTGCTGAGGCATGGAGCCGTTTCCTTACTAGAAAAGACTATACTGACAGAAATTCTTTAGGAACTTACCAATTCCAGCATGTCATAGGTAGCATGAAGAAAATGAACCAAGAATGACTGCATTTTTCACAGTATCGCTAGTCGATCAGCTGCATGCACTGAAACACTCAGCCAACATTTAAAAGCCATACAGAAGTAAATTCCTAAGTAGTAGAATTCCAAGTAGCATGTAACTGTGGAACTCGCTGTCACATGAAGTTACAAAGGCCAAAAACTAAAAATTGATTAAAGAATTAAATTCTTAAGGACTGGTCCATCTATTTGTTAAATACCGTGGTCCATCCGCGACCTCTGTTGAAGGATGCATTTACACCACCTGTGCTGAAAGCCAGGAAGCACCATTCTGCATTATTGTTTCCTCTATGTTCCCTTAGTAGATGCTGCTAGACACTTTCAAAAACAGGTCATGGGCTAGACAGACTTTAAGAACTGACAAACTGATATGTAATGCTAGTCTGAAAAGCTTACAGAGAGAGAGATGTCATCTCTCTCAAATCACATGGAAAAGTTATTCGCTGGGATAAAGAGAGAAACATGAAGCAGCTCAGTGAATGGGAGAAGCTTCCAGCTGTGGAAATCCCAGGTAACAGTACAAGTCATAATTTTGTTCAAATACAGCAACTTTTGGCATTGCTAGTAAGGAAAACAGTATCTCATCAGTTTCTCCCAAGGGTACTTTACTGCCTTTGAAGAAGAAAGATAACAGAGACGCCATACACTGATCTCACCAGGGAAGTGTGAGCCAAGAAGTCCCAAAATCTGTAACTGAGAAAACCTCCTCAGGTTCTTATTTCTCAAAATTCTTTACCTCAGATTCTCTCTGTTTATAGTCTATTTATATTCTTCAGATCTATAAAGATTTTAGGAGATTAAGAAGGAATACTAAAAACTGTTATACTACTGAGAAAATACACTAAAACACGATTAGACTATAATTAAAAATTACGTATTAGATATTCCATACTATACATCCTCCAAAGCGTGGCTGAAGCCTGTCATGTTTAGCGAACATTCATGGAAAAGTAACATTTTCTGAAGTAGAAAAAGAAATTCCTTTTGCAATCTACTGGTGAAACTGTTTCAGCTACAGTTGAAGAACAGAACAAATGTTTAGAAGTACATTAAACACTGTATGCCTCAATTAAAATCTGCATTTGCTAAACAAAATAAAGATTGGCATAAGTTGATTTGAGGACAAAGACTCTCCATTTAAAAAAAATAATTATGTTTTATGATATCCCATTGAAATTAGTCACACAGATTCAGGTAAATTACTTTATTCACTCAGCATGTGACTTCTGAAGCAAGGCAAGGATTTCAGAGCCTTTAAAATAAAAATGCCACTCAAAACACATTACCAGAAAGTTACGTCACCTCTCTACCCACCTGCTGAATGCTGTGACCAACAAATGAAAAATCATGCTGTCTGTTCTTTGACAGGCAAGAGCAGCATTTCCATGGGGAGGAAAAATGTGCAATTAAAATAATACCTCTATCTCAAAAATCCAGAAGAGTGACACAACGGAGCATGCATTTAATCTCAATTTAGTCCAAGCACTCCCTATGACAGAAGGCATGACCGATGAGAATTTATTATTCTGTGTTGGCAGCATGCACTGTTCTGTGGCTCAGTTTAAAAAAAAAAAAAGAAAAAACAACATCTCTGTAAAATCTAGCATCCTCCTTTCTAAGGTAGGCTCTCGATAGGCTCTCCACAGGTACAAACTATGCATCCAGGACAAAATTGCCTAAACCATTCTGAACTTAATTACTGATTAATTTTATTTAAAGCACCTCTTGGGAGCTGGAGACAAAAGAGACAATAGTAATGTTTAACAAGCATTGAAGAGCATACCTGGCCAGACATCGATCAGTGTATTAATACTGGACTTTTCACGAGCCTACAAATTTACATTTCTGACCCAATTTCATTGTGTAAAAGGAAATCCATTCCAAGAAAAATTACAATTACAGTTTTCTAATACTGAAGCATTTGGGGGAGTTCAAACAAGCACCACACAGCTGCTTTGATTAACAGTGTGGCAGATCCCAGCAGGGTAGACTCTGATTTGATGGAGGAAATTGGAACAGTGAGACACAAGGACTGATGTTCTGCTACTGCTGCTGCCCCTTGAGATTGGGAAGGAGGCAAAAACCAAACTCCTCCAGTTATAAGCAGATTGGCTGTGCCTCTCCAATTGTTCGTAGTTTATCAGTGCAATCCTCAGACCGGCAAATTTTATTTACTATTATGACCTGCACATCCTCTTTATAAAAAAAGCAATCTTTGAAATTTCCCTTATCTACCCCAATAGGTAATTTCACTCCTTTTTGAAGTTAGATACATTGGCAATTTAGAGAAATCTTCCTATTGCCAATAGAAGTCTATCCTGTGAAATTCAATTTTGTTATATCTTTAAGTGAAAACTCAACTCACTGAAATAGCTAGACTCTCTGTAGGAACTTAAATTGAAAAAGAAGAAATTGAGAATTTAACTCGCTAAAAACAGCAGCTGGAATCTTTAAAGAGAAACTGCATGTGCGTGCACATGTGCATGCCCCACTCCTGACTGAGCCATCAGATCAGGTACATTACCTTTCAGTTTTATTTCTCTTCCCAATTTTAAACTGATTAAGCTAATTCCAGTCAGCATGAAATAAAGGTTACACACAATGCACAATTTCACTTCCTGGCCTAATGCCGTCATTAACTGCACACTCTTAAAACTTCACTTCATGCTGCATTGGTTTTAGTAGATCAGTGTCTAACTGGCATCAGTTAACTGACTGGATTTAAATTTGCTCTTATGAATTAATCAGTACTTGTTATACACATGAAATGCATTCAGTTGAGATGCAGATTAAACTGTGTTAAAAGTAACTTTCAAGGACACGTTATCTGACTACAATACATCAGAACATGCAGAGACGTTCACAAAAAATGTCCCAAAACTGGTGTCACTGTTGCCGAACGGGTTAACACATGCTAAATTACTCATGCAAGTGACATGTCTCTGAATACAAATTATGCCCAAAATAGCTTTTCTAAAGGAAACAAAAAAAAAATGTGTAACAATAAAACCTTGGTAAATTAAGTGAGCTACTGAACACCAGAGTTTTGCACGTGCTTCATTTTGACCAAATGCTCCTCTCTCTATAGCTTGTAGGTCTAAAATTCAGGAGAGAGCAGTTAATAAATATGCATTTTAGAGACTGAGTTAATAATAATTAGCATATACCTGCTACATTAGAAGATTTGAGAATGGGGATCCTATTCATTGTTTAGTGAGTGCACTGTGCTAACATGTCGAACAGCTGTGCACATTTATAAACTCTCACACTGAAAAATCTGGACAATTCGTGGGGCCCAGAGCCTCACTCAGAGAAGACTTGGATCACAAAAATAGTGCAAACGCCATTTAAAAGCAGTTTATAAAGTGAAAGATTATTAAATCACGGAATAGGTCCCAGCATGGGCAGGGCATAGTCCTCAAAAGACCGAATATTACAGAAAAAACACTTTGGATTTGATTCCAACAAGAGATGCACCGTAGCACAGCAACAATAACAAAAATTGATACAAAGGATAAGGTGAGCTGGTCAATTAAACAAAACATCATGGGAAGAAAAAGTTAGTCCATTTTTGGCAAACTCTTATCTACAAAGAAACTGCACAGTACTAATTGCACAACAACAGACTTTGCAGATCTTTTATTTGCACAACATACTTGGACACAACAGCCAGCTTTACTCTAAATCCCTCTGCTTTACTACATGGACAGCATCAGACTCAAAACAAAGAAATACAACAGTCACCCGGTACTAAAAAGTTTTAATCAGCATCATAACTCAGCTTGTTTGTACAGCTAGAACTTGCTGGTAAATGCAGAGCTTGGAAAACAAGCTCTTGCGAAGAGGCACAGAGCTAAAACAAAGAATTAATAGCCACAACAAAAGATGTTGCAAAGTAATCCAATTTATTGCTCTCACAGCTACACTGAAAACATGTAAATGAAGAGCATTTACCATGGGAAAGCAGCTATTTAAAGTCAGTATCAAAATTGCAAAACAAAGTCAAATGACATCACTTTAAACAGGAAAAGAAAGATACTGCAAACAGTTAAAAGTTTGAGACGATTTTCAGAATACGTAACTGTCTTCCATTTGTGATATGAGCAGGAACAAGATCGTATTAAATGGCCACACAGACTTAATGCCCATTCTGGTGCCATAGTAGCTCCAATTTTTTTCCCCAAATCACTTTTTGTCAGAATTTCCAATTAATTTAGACAGCCTGTTAGCTCAGTCTTAAAACTGCACTCAGGCCCTGGTTCAACCAATAATTCAGATCAAAAGAAGAAAATATATCTTTCCTTCTTCATATTATCTGGTATTACTCCACTGCTTCACTCTGATACAGTGGCATCTTTTCTTAGCTAAGTGTTTATCACGCGCGTGCTTTGACAGCAAGTGTCTGGTGTCACTGACCTAAGTTTTAATTCTTTTCCAGCTCATTGCATAATTTTGTCAGCCTGTGAACTACTACACAGATGAACTAGGTTTTTTTTCCCCACAGTTATAATAAAGTACATAATTTGTGATTGAGTGCTTGCATAATTATGCAGGAGAAAAATAGTACGTGCTTCCCATAATTTTAAAGTAATTTAGGACAACCTACCTCATAACCATGACTATGTCTAGTAGAGTCAGCTGTCCTGGTTATTTAGCTCACAAGATTAGTGTTAGAATTGAAGGGTTGCTTTAATGTGACAAGTTTTGATCTTAACAGTGCTTCAAACAGGTCTATATTTTATTAACATCATAAATATATGACTTATTATTTCAACCAAGTTATTACTGACAACTAGAAAAATTTCTGAAATAAGAAAACCTTTAAGTAGACAAATTTGGGCCTTACCTTGTGAAAGGCACTGGTTTGCCAGAGCAACCTGTCCGGAGTGTAGATACAGATTAAGACGTGTGAAGATACTGCTCAGAGAGGGAATTGTAATGAAGCAGAAGGCAACACATGCCTAAAGCAAATAAAAAAAAATCCAACTGAAGAAAATTCCTAACTCAGAGTTATAGCAATCATTACGGATTTTATACATGATTAGGAATAAAAAAACCCAATAAAATAAAATAAAAAAATCTGTAAATCAGTTTTGGGAAAGACTTTCAATAAAAAGCAAACATTTAAGGTCCAAAATCAGCAACTTCAAATTTCTCAGTATTATTTCAAAAAAGACAACAATAATTATTAATTATTGTTATTAGGAGTAGACTAGCTCAAAACTTAGTCTATGACTCTAGCTCAAAGAATTCCTCTCTCCTCAAGTAACCAGCTTGCAGCTCAAGACCAAAATCCAACTAGAAAAGCACACTACTAGTCCTCAGGGACAATCCAGGGGTCAAACTGGTCAAAGCAGGGGCACTGTGTGTATTTGGGAGGAAGCAGATCCAGAGCAGCACGCTGCAGCTTTAGACCTACTGGAACAGCCCAGACACCCAGATGCAGCGAGTGGCCTCCAGGCATACAGAAGGCGGCCAGTGTCACCCCAGCTATCCTTTGTCCAGGACATCATGTGCAGGTGTCATGAACAAAAAGCCAATCTTTAATGGTGGCATACGCAAACACCTTCCCAACAAATGAAGGCATCTTAGTGGCTACATTTCAGGTGAGAGGAGGGGAACATAAACAACTTGCACAGCCTGTGCATAGCTCAAAGCTCCTTTGATCATGTCCATATAAACTCAGAGGCACTAAAACCGAACGGAGTACTTTATCTGAAATTCAAATACTGATTTCAGCATATCAGTGCCAATATTATGAGACAGAAGTTTAAATGATTCTTTTCCCCCAGCTCCCATTCTCTCTGTGATTGAGTTACACAGAAATTATTTTATTTCAAATATAACTTGAACAGTTGAGCTTTCCAGAATTCACATCAACAGCTCTCCAATGAACCTTCCTTTGAAGAGGGAGTAGATCTTGCTGCTCTTTTTTAACACAAAGCTGCTATTAGATGCTTTGGGTCTTTGTTTTCTTAAATGGCAGCATTTGGCTTTAGAGAGTAAGGGTCAATGGTAACAAGAGAAAATGAGACTACAGTGTTGCAAAAATTATAAACTTAGCTGGCAGAAGATAGTATTATCTGCAAAGAAGGCAGGCTCAAAGCTGATTTGAGTCAGACCTACCCTGACAAACGCAGCGGTCTTTCTGGAATGATTGCCTTTCATCACCTTTCTTGTTTCCATTGCTAGTTGGTTCACAGACTACACATAAAAATCAAAAGCAAATAATTAAGAAAAATGCAGAATTTATTAGGTCAGTGGCAAATAACAAACTGTATGTTTTATTGCATGCATTTAGAGAATAGAAACTGTCGGAAGGGAGCCTGATACTGCGTGCTCTCACTGTACTATTTAGTTTCTACTTAGAGAATTTTAGTGGCTGTTCCTTAAAGCAAATATGATTCTAAAGGTTTGTGAAGGCAGACTTCTTGATTTACTCAAGGCTTTACATCATCCCCTGCTTCCTAGCTATAGTGCTGTCATCACCTCCTTCCTGGTGTAAAAATCATGATTTCTAGCTAAGATACTAAAAACAAAAAACCAAAACCAATATAATAAAAGGATTTAAGAGAAGACACAATGCTGCAAAAGAATCAGATGCAGCTAATGCTCACCTGACATGTGACTCAATACAGAAAAGAGATTAACCTTCCCAATCATCAGGACTCTGCCTGTATCTGCAGCCAGACATACTCTAATCTCTCCTAGATGGAGGATTATAGAAGACAGAACCCAAATTGTGAATACACAAAAGTGCCATTCATTTTACTAGACCTGAAATCTCTGAAAGATAGCTAGTTTTCTTTGTTGCAATGATACCATGCATGCCTGTCAAGCAAGAACTTCAGAGAATCTGGGGTGATAAAAACGAGATAGGAGATGAAAGTCTATTTTAAAAACACCTGATAAAAACACTTCAGACTTACTTTGACATAGACCAACAATCTGGGCAGGGAATGGGAGAACTGCAAATATATCCCCACTTATTAAGATAATGTAGATAAACTGTGGCTTACATGAATCAACTGGACAAGAACAGGCTCCAGATTGCAAAACATTGACCTGGCTTCCACATAGAAACTCAGCTGCTGTTCAAAGTCACGGCCAAATGAAACCTATAGAAGACAAAAAAACCCTAGATATGACCGCTGTAGGCCATTAACTTTAAGAAATATAAAACTGCATGCAGATAAACCACAAAAAGTTAAAATCCCCATTTACGGGTAAGAAAAAAATCCCTGTCATTAACAACAAAATAGTGCCTGGAAAATCTCTGTCCTTTTAACTACCTGCTTTCCAATACTTAACCTTCAGGGAAACGTGAAAGTTTTGCTGGGGTTTTTTTGTGCATACTCCAGGTATCTTCTACTTTACAGATCAATTATTTATCGAGAAAACAAAATTTAACACCTAGATTTGTGAAGTGTTTTCAAAACTAGGAGAATTCGTTTCTTTACAGAACAGGGGCAAAGGCTTGGTATAGTTCATACTTAAGCAAAACAAAAAAAACCTCCCAGAAAAATAGAAATAGATCAGTGAATCTGTATTCAGATTCCTGTAATTTCTGGTTGCTAAAGGGCCTCAAAAAGAAAAATGAACAATTTTCTAACTAGATGTATGTCCTGGCTTTGGCTGGGACAGCATTAACTTTCTCCACAATAGCTAGTGTGAGGCTGTGTTTTGCGTTTGTGCTGAGGAGAAGGCTGATACCATACTGAAGCTGCTGCCAGGAGAGTCAGGGACTTTTCAGCCTCTCTGCTGTGCCAGTGTCTGCAGGGGCAGGAGAAGCTGGGAGGGAGCACAGCCCCAGTTATTAGCCTAGGATTCGACCTTAGGTTTAGGACTAAGACCCAAATGGGCCAGTGGTATATTCCATATCACGCACGTCATGCCCAGTATATAGATGTGAATCTGTCTGGAAGTTTGCTATGTCTCTGGGTCTCCCCTCGGTCTCTCAGATGCTTGGGCTCTTATCTCTTCTTTGGGATTGCACTTCAGGACTCTCCCTGCTCCAGGATTGTGAGCTGGAAACAGGCTGAGCCTTGGTCATCAGGTGGTGAGCAGCTGCACTGTGTATCACTCATTTGTATATATTACTACTATTATTATGATTTTCAATTTTATTGTAGTTTAGTTATTAAATTGTTCTTATCTCAGCCCACGAGTCTCTTCCCCCTTTACCCCTTAATTCCCTCCCCCATCCCTAAGCGGTGGGAAGGTGAGCAAGCAGCTGTGTGGTGTTTTCCCACTAGCTGGATTTAAAACCACAACAATTAACCAGTAAGAAAAGCGGGTTTTCCTCAAGTTTGGTTAATAAATATGCTTATACAGTAAGGTAAAAGCCTGCAACCTTGCACACTGGCAGGAAACAGGAGAAGTCAAAAACAACCCTTGTGTG